CAATTGAGTATTTAAATCATCAACTGCAGCTTGTAGAGCTACTTTGTGATCCATGGTATGATGGTTGTAGAAAGGGTTAGAAGGGGGGAAAATAGAGGGGAAAATAGGGAGAAATAAATATGCGAGTGTTCGGTGGGGACGAGCGTTCGGTGGTGGATCACGTTAGTGTAGATATGCTGAGTGGGGAGTGCTTGTAAATGATGGAAAGGTAGCAGTAGCAGTAGCATTAGCAGTTGTAGTTATAGTCGTTGGAAGTTACGGACATGGCGGGTAAAAAAGACCAGAATGCCCAATTTGGAGACGTATGGACAGCACCAGGACAACTTTAGGAGCATTAACTACCTCGTTCACGAAGCGAAACCCATTCCCGGTTTGCCGAGCGGGTATTTACCCGCTTGCAGTTCCCAATAGCCATATCGGCAAAAGTGAGGAGCATGCGGATAAATGCGTCTATGGCAATGCTCTATAGGAACTATAGGAATCTCAGTTATGCCAAGAATGATATTTCTCGAGGTCACGGTTTCATTTCGTTAAGGCATCCATCCGCCTCTCCATTGTGCCACGCTTGTTGGTTTTCACTTCTGAAAAAGGGTAGGGATAAATATCATTTCAACATTCCGCTTTTTGCTGGATCCTGGTGCATTCTCTTTTTGCCATCGGCTTCATCAAGTACATTGCAAAGCTCCTTGCCTGCCGGCCGTTCAAAACACTGGCCTGAAAATAAGCAGGAGTATCTGATAAACCCCCTCCTCAACCTCAAAGGGAATCTGAAACCCTCACCACTGATGCTGCTGGCAATAGCTGTTTTCTAGACCAGAATTGCGGCATGTTCCTATCATTCAGCTCTTCGTTCAACCCCAGTTTCACATCTAGATCTGTGACGTCGTTGAAATGGTTGAGTAAAGGCGGCCCCGCCAGTTTCCGAGTGCTATCTTCAACGCACAAAGCGGAAGCATCAGAACAGATATCCTTAAGCAGCGAGAGGAGTTCCTTCTTGTTGTTATGGCTATCTCCGTGTGTGAGAAGCCTTTGGAGCATGGGGAACTAGCGCTTGGACACGATGGTACCACTTGCTGTGGGATGTTGAGTATTTCCTCCGGCAGTAAAACGATCAGAATGCTGGAAAGTGGTTATTGAATTGGACAATTGAAGTCAATGGTTGGCAGATGTGACTTGGGTGGAGGGATCGCTTCAATGGCACGGTAGGTGTTGTATGCCCATTGGGAAGTTATGAAATCATGCTTGGAATCTTGATATTCAGAAACACTAGAAGCGAGTACCTTCAGATACTCTAAAAATGATGTATTGGCTTGGGAGTTTGCTCACATCAACTTGGCAATTTCATACATGAATGAAGTTGAAGTTCAGGAAGATAAAGCCTTCCTTGCATAGCAGTGGTTTGAGTGGGACGGAAATTGCCTGGCTAATCCCTCTCTTTGCCTACCGCGGAATTGCAGTCAATTGGTTCCACGAAATGGTACCTATCTGGTAATGATGGTAATTTTATGGAGCTTGCGTGCTGGTAAACAAGGTGCATCAAGCTCGCCGCTCTAGACATCAACATCCAATTCCTTTTTGAGCAGAGGGTACGATATGCAATGAAAGAAGTATAATTTCGATCTCCTAAAAACAGCAGAAGACCACATGAGGGACTGATTATTTGTCCCTGTCTAAAGCGAGTACAAATCCGTATGCCCGCATTCCATAATGACCACTATTTCAGCCAAATTGATGGGACAAGTGGTCGACCATTAGGGGATATGGGTGTTGAGGATATGGAGCTCCTATAAAAGAATTCCTTAAGCAAAAGTTTTCGCTGTCAACTAGTAGTATACACAAGGGACAGGCGGGTTTTAGGGAAGAAAGCGGGATATATCACCAAAGGGGGGTCAAGGTCATGTTTGTGAAGAGGAACTGAGCCGTTTCTCATCTGTGTGACCAGTTCCTAAGTCCGAGCTGTAAAAATTCTCAGGTCCCTCTATGGACAATAGTTAGTAAATGAAACTAGAAAACAAACGGGGGATTTTAACAATCGGCACGTCGTGAATTACCATGTCTTGTGTATAGTCTCCGTTCTACCTCATCGAACTTCGCTTTACCACTTTCAACGTCCTCACGTTTGACACCGAGGCGAGAACTCGGGAGTCCCATCGACAATAAAAACTTCACCGTGTCATTCCATTCAACATTTTTCCGCTTAGAATCCCATTTTAGCTCCTCCGCCATTATGTCAATGATGGTTGGGAGAGCCTCGAGGGCGGCTTGCGCATTCAAGAACGCTAGCCTGGTTCTCCGTGCCAAAACATCGACTGCTGTTTGCGCAAATTCAACGCGCGTGGCATAGCGTACCTCCCCGTCAATAAACGGGTAGAGAGGAGAAATGCGGACTCCACGGACTGGGAACCGAGTTTTTGTGGGAGACGACATAGCAGCTACATCCCATGCACGATCTCCGTAAGACTGCGCAAGATGTTGAGCAACATCTGTTGCAATTCCGAAGTGTTGGATCAGGTTAATGAACAGGGTTTTCGAATAGCCATGGGCGCCAACTAGACGGACTTGATGGGTCTGGCAAGACCCGTCCAAAACAGCACCATCATCGAAAAGTCCCGTTCCGCTGATGTCAGGAACTTGTTTATTAGGGCGCGGTTGTAAATCGAACTCTTTGATGGCTTCGTCAACAGCTTCCTCGCTCATTTGCCGATAAGTTGTCCATTTTCCACCAGCGCAGGTTAAAAGACCGGATTTAGATACTGTAATGAGGTGATTGCGGACCAGAGATTCCGTGTTTTTAGCTGCAGGATCTCGTACAAGAGGCCGAATCCCAGCCCAAGCTGCAAGGACATCCCCTCGCCTCACGTTGATGTCCGGCGCGAGATATCCGCGAATTTCAGTTAGGATCCAGTTTATATCCTCCTCAGATGGTATAGGCTGAGCAGTAATGGTAGTGGGGCTATCTGTTGTTCCTGCAATTGTATTTCCTTGCCACGGAAGGAAGAAAATGACACGTCCGTCCGAAGAGGCAGGGTCAATCAGTCCCATCTTTGCAGGGCTATAGTAACCGGGAAGAACAACATGTACCCCAGAGCTTGGTGCAACTATTTCGCTGACGCTTTCATCATCCATCTTCCTGATAGAATCCGTAAAAGGTCCTGTAGCATTTATAATCCCTTTGGCCTTAATAGTAATTTCCTCTACCTCTTTGCCATTTCTTCCTGGAACCAGATCCCTGACGCGGGCTCCATTGAGTCTTCCTGACTCGTCCTTGGTCAAACCGGTAACTTCCATATGATTTACAACCGTAGAACCATATAAAGAAGCTGTCAATGCCAAAGATACGTTCATTCGAGAGTCGTTATGGGCACCATCTTTCGTAATGATTAGCTTTTGCAGAAGTAGAATACGCTAGATTTTGGAGTTGGGACAGCCAAGTCTTACCATAGTATACAAGAGCACCAAAAAGATTATCCTTCTTCAACATTGGAAAGGCGTCTAGGGCCTTGCTCTTTGTGAGGAAATATGAACTCTCAATCCCCTCGGATCCAGCAAGGAAATCATAAAATTTAGTACCTGCCCAGAAATAAGGCAGTTGCCACCACTTTTGCACGGGAACCATAATTGGGAGCCACATCGAAAGGTGTGGTGCGGTGTGGAGGAAGTACTTGCGTTCCCGAAGCGCTTCTTTAACGAGTGCATATCTAAATACAAGATCTGTAAGCAGGAGTTCCCCACATGACAATGCAGGCGCTGCGTGACATACTGGCTATAGTCTAATTCCCAAACAGCCTTTTCCAGGTAGCGTACACCCCCGTGCACCAACTTTGTGCTCTTGCTACTTGTGCCAGCGCTGAAATCGTCGCGCTCAACTAGAGCTACTTTCAAACCGCGTGATGCGGCATCGAGAGCTATGCCAGAACCAGTTGCGCCGCCACCAATTACAAGCAGATCATATGGCGCATCGGTATCAGGCCGTGCCGGACTTTCGAGGGTGGATGCATCCTTTCCTAGCCTTCCGCTCCCGGATAGCAAGCTCGTCGTCTTTGCCAGTGAACTTCGTTTTAGGTCCTGTATGTGCTCGTCACGAGTTTTGACATGAGGAAAGCTTGGGGGAACTAGCTTTCCTCCACGGCTATATGATGGGGCCGGAACGGAGGCCGGATCCGATCCAGGTATATTGCGTGGGCGATACGCTAGATATAAGATGCCTCCTCCTCCTGTCGCAGCAGCAATTGTATACAAAAACGGTTTAAGAAAGCGGCTCAAAGGTCGACTAGGCATTCTCTAGTGAGATGGGTCCTAGAGTTACTGATGGAACAGGGCAAAATGAGAAGATCTATATGCACGGCAGAGAAATATGGCGCCGAGCTAAAGATTGGAGAGTTAGCAACCTACATCCTATGCGCAGCCAAGAGACCGAAAGATGACCTACTCCGCCCACCTAAGTGATATACAGAAATCGTCAAGTCAATGGAAGCTTGCAAGGACCTAGTGGACGGTAAAAGAGAACTTGTCTAAAGATCGGAATGGATTACCGACAGATAACACTAAATGCGAGGGAAACAACAAGAGCATTTAATGAATGAAGCAGTTGACGAATTGAGGATGCTGAGGGGCGGGGGGGGAGCCATTAAATGCAAGGAAGCGTAGAAGAAGGTGGAACAGGGTCTCATGATCCAGGATAGGATGAGAATGAGAATGATTATGATGGATGCGGCAAACCCGCTTGCTGCTGGTTTTCAAGATTGCAGCTGGTTTCATCAAAGCATTTGTTTGCAATGACGTCGGAGGTATCCGCAGCGACCGCCGAGCCCGCTGGCAAGGGCTTGCCGATGCATCTGGCCAATCATAGTCGAGTAACTAGTTATCGTTAACTAACCCTGGCAGAAGCGCGATTCCTCAAGACTAGTCCAAATTTAGGTTAGGTAATTATGTTACTAACTTCGTCTGATATCAAAAATCGTCAATGGGGAATGGTTATACTGATTTTTGCTAGATACAGTTCTGTGGTGGTCAGCTATCTCAAAAGCACACTGATATGGAGCCATACTTGTTTTAGCTTCGATTACTTCTACTAAAAATGTGTCCTTACGTGAAAACAAAGCCAAGTTGCTCAGGGAGCAAACTTCTATTGTTCCCAAGGTTAGCAGTGTGTGACTGAGATTTTATAGCTCCATGCTGTGAACTTTCTCAAGTTGCTTATTTTCTTGCTGGTGTCGGAAGGAGATCGCTGCTGTCGTGCTTGTTTGCACATTATTGATCAATTCAACTTTGTTTTTTCTTCATCCCTCAATTTTGGGGTTCTATATTGTTACCCGACCAAGGCAGACTACAGCGGTCAGCGAACACCTACAAAATCTCTTCTTTACTCATATCTATGGCCCAAGCGTCTACGTCAATCTAGGGTTCAAGGTATCTGTTTACATCATAGACAGAATATGGAGCTTCAGCCGTCAAAAATGCCTGCAACCCTTCATTAGGTTGGGGGGAGATTTCCTTGGTATCAATACACCCAATTTCCGAGCCTGCAGAAACGGCCTTGGAGTCGCCCAGGTGACTGTTTCGGGATACAATTGTTGGAACGTCTACCGACTCGCGCCATTTGTATACCTACAATATCTACAAGGTTATGTTCGAATCCCCCCGGCTACAGGCAAATACTACTGACCCTTCCATAGTAAAGAAAAGACAAATATTCATAGGCTTGGAACTTCATGACTACTGACGATACCATATTTTATCTAAAGTCAATAGGTGCAAAGGACCAATGCGAAATAATATCAATGCGACGGGAGTGTTTTGGTTATGCATAGCATAACAATAGGCTGGTTGGACAGACTGAAGTGATGCAGAAATCATTATTATTGTATTACTTTGAATTGATATGTTTTTTGACCTTGGTGTTGTGAGAGCAGATGGATTATCATTTCCAGGAAGTATCTTCCGTGGTATCTCAGTCATTTAAATCCCCGTGATTTTGCAACGGGTTCCATACTGCAATTTTCGTTGCGAAAGCAACAACGTTAGTTTCTCACATCAGATTGAGATGTTGGAAAAGAAAAGAGATGAGCAAGATTTTTTTTTATCAACATGCCGGTTGAGAATTTCCGCCATTCAATGCGAATCCAGTAAACATTGGCACTCAATTATTCACCCTCCCCCAACTCTGCCACGTCAAGACTCGCGTCATGGTATCAATGGATGGCCAGAAGAGGGCGCACAAGAGTGCTCAGTCATGCAATGATTCTTGAAGCGCCTCGAATTACAGCCGACTACAGTTGAGGGACAATTCATCGACGCATCCGTTATCTTGTCCGCTAATATTTCACAAACAAGCATCACAGAATTGAGAGTTCAAGGCTGCCAATGCACCAAAGCATGGTATCGGTACATCATCGGTATGAGGAGCCCTTCTCGCTATCTATTCGGTTGCGCTACCCACTCCTCGCGTCCAGGAACTTCGTCTCCTTTCCTTTACATATTCAGCTAGCAAACGATAACGCTTTTATGTCTGTATTGTCGAGAAACACCATTCTGCACGTCCGGGATATTCGAAAGCTGACCAAACTTGCGCTCAGGAGGTAATGAAAACTGGACCGCCTCACAACACATGCATACATACGACCCAAACACCTACCTCACTTTGCATTACTTTTAGGTCATCGGTTGACTTTCAAAATATTACTTAGCCAGTAGCCATTGATAAGAGTCAGCTAGCTAACATCGCCAAAAAAATGGAAATGGAAAGGGAAATGGAAAAGAGGCAACATGAGCAAACAGCTTTAACTTCCGTCCGACTATCTTGTGAGATGCAGAAAGTTTCGATCCCCTACCAAACCTTCTAGAGCGGACGGAACAAATTGATGGCACCTCCATGTAAAAGAAAAGCCAAGCAGAAAATCCGAAGAAAAGAATCGAGGTTGCAGTTGTACAGTAACTACCAGACCTAACTGCATACCTTGGTAACTCTGTGTTTTCAACTAGTAACACCACATCCCGCTTTCCTTACTAGCACAATTGGGGAGGAGAAACCACGCAATTGGATAAATTTCTATTGAGCCAGCGCCTTGCAGCAGCGATATCGGTACGGACCTAATGGCATAGCCATTAATCTTTTCGAGAGGAATGATCAGATTTCTTCGATGGGTGGTTTTGACAGGGCGAAACCCAAGATCATGGTGAATGAATTTTCCTCTAAGTTTTGGACACTCTGAAAAGCCGGAATTTGGAGGAACGGTTGCACAGCGGCTTAGGGAATTTTCTTGCTTGGACGGTACAAGGGGGAGATAACCTGAGAAACAAACCCTGTATCGTAAAAAAAAAAAAAAAAAAAAAAAAAAAAAAAAAAAAAAAAAAAAAAAGGTTGCGCCCAATTCATTTTCACTGTTTGAAAAATATCCAACCCATTTTTTCATTTGCTTTCATATAATTGATTTTTAACAATAGTACAGTACGTTATAATGGAGAAAGGATTACGTGTCTATCTTCAATAAAAGCAACAACAAATCCTAAGGACGAATTCCACTCTATGCCAATATTGAAACAATACCAAGTTTCATATCTTCCCGCCTGCGGCACAAGACACGGCATAGCAAGGACAACGGGGGGAACAAGTGGAGCTTGTTCAATACACGGCAGATGTAAATTAGTTATTCTAATATTAGTACTTTTGCAGTAGAAAGAAATTCAATATTTCTAATAAGCATTTTACTCAAAGCAGTGCATTGAGTAACTCTGAAAAGGGTTTCCCTCTGATCCACAGCCTGTACGCTGCGTAAGAGAGTATGTATAACCCGCCTCTATATCCATTCATAGTAGGTAGATATCATCCTTCCTGGATCTTTCTTATCTTACAAACACACCCGGGAGATTACACATTTATCACCAACCTGCACATCTCCATCACCGTGTTCATTCAGCCAAACTACTCTAGACACATCCTCAGCAACTGCCAGCAAATGAGATAGTTACATGACCTGACTCGCACCAGTCTCGAGGGAGAAATCGAAAGCTAACCCGAACCAACCCTTGGCCATGACACACATAAACTAGATCGATGGAAGAGAGGAGAACAGACAGGAGCGCAATCAGAGTTTCCGCTAGAAAACGGGCAAAGGAAAAACCCCGTCCATCACCTATCCCGCGCATAAAGATACTCCATCGGAAGGATCCCGGAATTCTGCGAAAAAGGTCAGGAAATAGGAATAAGAACTATTTTTATGATCTTCTCCCGCCAGAATAAAAGAATAGTTTTGCCCTGACATTTTTAATGGCTGTGTGGTCGTCCTCCTTGAAATTAGCAGATGATTGATTGCCCAAAAGTCCTAGTCCAATTTAGAAGCAGCTATATGAATGAGATGATTATATGAACAGGGCGAAGAAGATATCACGGCGTGGATAATGTTTTTGAAATGTATTTTTCTATATGGGCCTAGAACTGTCAGTTGAGGTTTTTAACAAGCTGCGTGTGCGGGGTTACATGGAGAACTAATACCTCCTCTCAGACGCAGTAGTAGAAGCAGAAAACAAAGAAGCAACAAAAAAACAAGATCGAGACTGTCAATTTCCTGTGAAGGTCTAAAGCTTCCTTTGATTGAAAAGGTGGCTAGCTAGTGGGAAGTTATATGGTAATAAGCCAGGACATGTAACCTGACATTTCCAACGTCAGCACTTCTACTATTGTCTGTCCTGTTAAGTAACTTGGTAGGAGAGAAGACTACTTCTCAGAATACTGGACTGACAAACGCGGACCTCTCTATGTATACGTATCCCCACATTCAGCCGCATGAAGGGAGTCCATGGAATAGATATAGATAGATATATATATATATATATATATGTAGCGTGGCGCATGGATTTTGCTGAGAGATGCTATTCGGAGAGTTTGTCGTACATTCCTAACCACATCCATTACATAGTTAACTTACTTTCCATACCGGGGGATTGGGTGAGGGGCATGAGGGGGGTTTGGCTTGTACTTAAAAAGTATTTATAAGAGATTCATGTACATGTACATACATACATATACAGCCCGTGGAAAGAGTCTCAGGGGTGATATATCTCTCCGTATATTTTTCTAGTTCTATCAAATCTATACAAACAAAAACAAATACCCAACAAGTTAAAAAAAATAGCTAGACATCACATCATATCACATCATGTCCACCACCCCAATCCGCATCGCCATAATAGGCGGCGGCATGGCCGGCGCCTCCCTCCTGCACGCCCTGCTCAAACACCCCCCCACCTGGACGTCCACATCTTCGAGTCTGCCGCTGAAATCAGAGAAGCCGGCGCCGCGGTTGGCGTGGCGCGGAACGGGCCGGTGCAGTCCCGCAGCGCGGGGTCCGCTTCATGCATGCGCAGGGCGAAGGGAGGAATAGCATGATTGATGAGATGAGGGATGACGATGGGTAGGCGCTGGTGAGCATTGTGCATCGGGCGGCGTTTCCGCGGGAATTGCTCAGGGATGCTCCGCCGGAGCGGCTGCATGCGTCCAAGAGGCTGGCGCGGGTTGAGCGCGCGGACGAGGACGGGCCTGTCACGCTTCATTTCACGGATGAGACGAGGCACGAGTGCGACATCGTCGTTGGCGCTGGTGGGATCCGTAGCACGGTTCGCAGGGGCATTCTTGGAGAGAGGGATCCGGCTACGAACGCGAGGAATGCTGGCTGGTGGGCGGTCATGGCCTTGAAGTCGTACGCTGATGTCCGGGCTAGTATTGGCGAGGGGTTAGTTGATATTGATGATACCCGTGAACATGGGTGGGTTGGCGATGGCACGTTTCTGATGCATGACATATTGAACGAAGGGCAGCTGGTGCAGTTCATCATTTCCGTGCGTGAGAAGGAGGCCGAGGGGTCGGATAAGTGGTATCGAATGGTGAGCGCGGAGGAGATTTCAAAGGTCTACTGGGACTGGCCGCTGCATCTGAAAAATGCAGTGGAGGAGGTAAGTAAAACTATATAGTTACCCCCCATCAAAGCAAGCTTTTCAAACACATAGCTAACGTGGACGGCATATTTCTTTAACTACTCTGCAACCAGCCTGAGCAGCGTGCCATATACAATTGGGAGCATCCACATGCCCGTACGTATGTATCTGGGCCAATTTGCATCATGGGAGACGCCGCCCATGCCACGACACCGTTTCAAGGCTCTGGCTGCGGCATGTCCTTTGAGGACGCTCTCATCCTCTACACCCTGCTCGGCGGCTCAAAGGCTCCTGCGGAGGCGCTCGTGGATCTACAGGTGTATGGCCAGGTTCGCCGGCCCCGAACCCAACGTATTGTGGAATCGAGTCGGAACACAGGGCGCATCATCACTGGGGGAAGGGGAGGGGATAGGGTTGGATCTGGAAAATCCAAGGCAGGGCCAACTGCCAAGATGGGATTTTATTATTGATTTTGATAATGTCAATGCTCGCGATGAGTCGGTTGAGATGATGATTGCCGAGTTGGCAAAATGAGAGAAAAGCCTTAGAGAAAAGTACATGTACAGTAGTGCATGTATGTACGTTCCGCTGGCTTGGAGCTTTAGAGTCTCGCTGATATCAAATAGAGTAATTATTCAGAAGCTCTTCATCCACAGTTCCCACGCGCAGGCTTGCGGCGTCAGTGCGTTAATCGTGTAGATGCGCGAATATGTGCGTATTGGAGGTAATCTGGCGTGGAAGATCCCTTTGTTTCCAGTGCAAGTGCGTAAATTAGTTACGCGGCATGGCAGCAAGATGGATTTTCATTTCAAATTTTCCCCTTTTTTTTTTTTTTTTTTTTTTTTTTTTTTTTTTTTTTTTTTTTTCCCTGCTGATCTCGATCGTCTTTGCAGGTGCAAGGTGCTTGATACGGAAATCATGAATGTCAAGAGTATGGAAGTATGGGGGAGTTGATGATCTCGGAGACACCGGCAAATCCCCTCTCTCGCCGATGTTGGATTATCCAAAGTTTAGGAACTCGGAGGTCGATGACAGAATGAAAGTCAAAAAAACAAAAAAGGGATGTTCACAACAATTGAAGCTGAAAAAGCTTTGATGCTGTGAGGAGAAAGAGCTTGATCTCGTATTTTCCAAAAACCACAACCAGCAAGTTGTTATGAAATCACGATATCCATCAGCTCCTAAGAACAGGAATACAATACCCCCCAGCGCCCCAAAGCATTGAATAATGTCCTGCCTCTCTTCCCCAGAAATCCAAAAAAAAGGGCTTATCCCGACAATAAGGGAGTCGGGACCACAAAAGAGTGCGTGGGATAGCGACCAACCAACAATTATTGCCAGAAGCCATGACCCACGGATCCAGCAATCAACAGCGGACAGACTGTAGACTGTGATTTCCGTCACATTTATCATCACGCCACATTGTAGAATTGTGCGTGGCATGGAGCACGGAGAGAGCCAACCCAACTTACTGGGTTTGAAAACCATGTTTTTCTTTTTTCCCCCGTCGGGAGAAAAAGCACGGGAGAATATAAAAAAAGAAAAAGAAAAGATACTCCGCACAGAGCGCATTGAACCAACAGCAAAAGACAGGCAGCCAAGCCATCTCAATCGAAATGCTAATTAATAATAGTAATAAGGCCTCAGGAACTCAAGCCGATCGTTGAAGGCTTAACTACGGAGTACTCCGTACAGCGTAAGTCAAGAAAAAAAAAAAAAAAAAAAAAAAAGCACTGAGCGAATGAATGCCAAGTAAAGGGGTTTGATGCTTGATTTGGTGGTCGGTCCATGCATGAGACACACGCTACGTACATCTCGTATTTCCCCAGAAAACGGATCATCTTCGACCCGCCGTGTCGTTCTTGGATAATCTGGATAGCTTCAAACCAAACCCCCCTCTTAGGCTCTCACACGGCTCATTTATTAGTATCATTCGCTAGGTTAGTTACTGACTAACTGGCTAACTGGCCCACTGAACTCGGAACAGTAATCTGCTGATGGGCCTGAAAAAGTAAAACCAGAGCCAAGATCCGGGGTCGGGGAGGGGAAATACGCTGGTGGTAATTAATTGTGTTCGAAGCTTCGGCAACCCTAGTATGATATGGGGGTTTGTCCGGCAGGCATGCACAACAATAATTGTTCCATAGAAGGAACAGAGGAGTAAAATGAGGAGTTTTACAAAAAAACCTCCCATAGTTATTCATGGTAATCCCCTCCTCCGCCCCATGAGGCAGGAATCCCATGCAATGGACTCAACCACATTCCACATTATTGTCGTTCAATGGAGCGGCAGAATGGAGAAGAAGATAATGAGTGGGTGAGTGGTTAGTCTCAAAATTGAGGCAAGCATGTGCAGTTTCCTGCACCGCCATAGAGGAAAAACGGAACGGTGGTGTGTGTGTGCGTGTGTGCGTGTGCGCGTGTGGACGAGCGTTGGACAGGCACCACGACATGCGTTGAAAGTCGCTTTTGCGGTACCGCCACACTTTTTCTATTCTGTTCTTTTCTTTTCTTTTGCCATTAAGATATGTTATCTGGACCCGGTTCGTAGACTTCCGTTTTGTGCAATCCAATCCAATCACTCGCGTCGTCCGAGACAACGGGTTGCAATGGTTGCTCAACAATGCTCAACCACCCAAAATATCACAACCGTTCAAATCCCAGGATCATGGTGGGTTGGAGCTGGAGACTGTAACTCAGATGATCAATTGAGGGTTCGACAAAAACATGACCGTTTCTTGAAATATACCCTGAACAAAGCTTTTTTGTTGCGATCACCAGACACATTTTCGCATGCCAATCTCTCCCCCCCCTTCTGAAAAAGGACCCTGAGAATTCGCGCAGGAACTTCCTCTTTAGCCTTCACGGTTATTAGGTTTGGCTATTCGCATTTGTGGGGGATCGATCAATTGTTTCGCTTGCCCACCCGCCCACGCCCCCCCTTGTGCCCTTGTGTCCTTGCGCCCTTGTGCCGTTGTGCCCAGGATGCGGGGACCAATAATCAGCTGAGCTGACATGAGAAAGAGGCGTCGCAAGTGGAAAATTAGGATGGCAGCTATGGCGAAAGAGGATAAGTTAACATATGGCGTTGAAGAAGGACCGAGTGGTAAGACGGATAAACGGTACCTCGGGAACAGGACGCTGGTTAGCTTCGTAATAACAATACACCGCGCACTAATGAGTCTGGGTGGGACAGAGTGGGCGGAGAAAAAGCCACTATTTGCTTCCTTCTTGCCCCCTCCCGCGCCAAAAAAAAAAAAAAAAGAAGAGATTGCCGTTGAAAGATTGCACAGGAAAAACCGGGGGTAAAAATACGCCGGTAGATACAGACTACAGTAGGCCAGGGCGGGGGCGGGATCCTAGATGCCAGGGGAGAGAAATAAAATTAATACAACTAACTCCCATGCGAATACTCCTGGCATGACAGGGCGCGGAACAGTAAGATAAGAAGAAATTGAATCGCTGAAAAATTTATCTAAAAGGATGAATACAGGGCAAGGTGGGCA